CCGCATACACCATTAGGCGGACGATACCCAGCTGTACTTATCTTTCAATGAAGTGAAACCCGATGTTACCGCTGCTTTAAATTCGGATCTGGATTCTTTGATAAATGTATCTGCAGCACATAATATGAAGTTGAACGCGAGTAAGTCCAGTGCATTGTTTTTCGGACCGAAGCTCAAACGTAATCTAGCCAGTACCTTAATCGACATCATTTTGGGTGGTGAAAAAAAATTCTCATAAAAAATCAAACAAAAAATCTCGGACTCTGGTTACACAAAACATATCAATCAACTTTGCAGAGGTTGTAAATAACATGAAATTTTTATTTGTAAATAACATGAAATGAAGACAGTAAGCTAGATGATGGTTTATTCAAATTTGGATAATATGGTCTTCAGTGGATCGAAATTAATATCGCATTGACTGCAGTGGGTATTATAATTTTCACACATTCAATTTATAGGAAACACTTTTTCAAAGTTGGATCTAGTAAAAGGGGCATAGAAAGTGATCTGTCTACGTGTAGTAGCTTGAGGTACGTTAAGGTTAATTTGTTCTAGTAATACCGTGTTAGGAATCACACGTTAAAAGGTAAGACCTCGTTAATCCTTAGCTCGCACAAGTTTCGACTTCTGAGGGCTGTCGTTCGTAGGGGTGCGACAGCTGGTTAACGGAAAAACAGATTTTAAACAGATTTTAATAAGGGTGCATTAATGGAACAATGCAAAATTTTGTATAACATAATTATACTTGATGAATTATACGTTGCTCCAAGGACGGAATACCGAATCTTTGAAGTAGTGTGAAGTGGTCAGTTCCTCTAGCAGGATACACGCTATCAGTTCTGAATGCAAGAAACTTCAGAAAACGCCTCTGAACATTTTCCAAGGTTTCCTTATGTACATTATAGAGAGGATAATCAAATCAAAGTAGCATAATCTAACTTGGAGCGGAGCGAGAAATGTGTAAAGTATGGTTAAGGCGATAATATTGGTGAATCATTTACAGTTGCGCAGAACAAAGCTACGCAATTTTCTTCCCGATGCCGCGACAGTATTTGTGCGGCCAACACCACACACTGTCGAACGTCACCGTGACAGCTTCTTCATCCTCAAAAGTATAAAAATTCTCAATAATATTGAAATCACGTGTAAAAGAGCAAACTTTGCACTGGAGGTAAGATCAGCTCTCTAAACTTGTGATAGATGAAAAGATCTTCAAGTCGTCTGCAAAAAGTAAGTTGCTACACGAAAACTCAGAGGTGCGATCATTTATGAAAATAAGGAAAAGCAGGGGTCCCAGATTGAAGCCTTGTGGCATATCGAATGGTAATAAGTATGGCGTAGAAACTAATCCATTATAAAAAACAACATTGTTCACACTCCAAATAAGAGTGTAGAAGTTGAGTTAGTGGGATATTTGAACCCATTTGAGGGTTTTGAAGAATTCTGCGGTCACTTTAAAAAGATATGTGTCGAACGAACACTTCAGTCATTTATTTTCATTGAGAAAATAGGTTTCTAGAAGATGATGATAAGCAGTCTAAGCAATAAAGCAATACAGAAGAAGCACCAAACCAGGATAACGTGAAACCAAGGTCAAACGATGTTATTTTCAAGAACTATTATATACATCTGTAATACAATGACTTCGTGCATGTATATTGATAGTATATGTCGATTTATTCACAGCTGACAAAATAACTTATCAGGGGAATCACTTCCGCTTATATTACAACGAATATTTCCATTTGCCATCAAAATTCTGTGTGAAATATTTTATTAAAATTGACGACTGAGTTTCTCAACTTTCCTTTATTCATTTAATTTTCGTACTTTCTTTTACAACTTGTTAGTTAGACTATCGAGAAACAGGTGAGAAGAAGAACAATATTCATCATTACCCAAATGTAAAATTATAATTGAATTTCCTTTCTAGAATACTCATTGCCAAAAAGACTTCGTCTCGTCTTTCGAATAATTTCATTGAGTTTTTCAGACTAAAAATTATGGAGTGCCTGCCAAACCAGACGAATTCAAAAATGGAATACATGATATGAATATTAATCTCAAGTACGAGACTCTTATTGTAATTGATATCGGCTCAAACATATTTTCACTTCGCCCGCAGTACGAGGTGAGTCTGGTATGGAGTAAACATTTTAGACGTTTGCTCAAACAATGACGAATAAATAGAATGGGCTCATTCAGGCTAATTTAGTTTTTTATTTAAAATTATATACAGTGTGACCCATTTAAAATGGAACCACCCCTGTAGAATGTGCATTTTTCAATCAATCTCAATTTTTTTTTATTGAAATATTAAGCATGAAAAACTGTATCTTGACACTAACTTTCACAATTTTAGTTTCATTTCCAAGGCACAACACTGTATTATAAAAGTAAATCATGTCCCAAGTATCCCACCAAATTTTCAGGTTTTTATGTCAATTAACAATTGAGCAAGAGCAATTGAAAATGTGATATCGCCCGCGGTACATCCTGACGTCACACCAAGCAACGACCTTCGAGCGGTGGCAACCGGGCCTGTAGTTGGAGATTATGAATCGCTGCCATCGTCGGATTTTGTTTCATTTGCTAGCTGGTTGATACACTAGCAGTTGATACACTGCAGTAAACAACACACAACTTGCTCTCTACGGCTTGTCGCCGAATCGGCTTATGTGACGTCAAGTTTGACCACGACCCGTTTCGATGAACGCCACATTCAACTAATAATTTGAAGGGGAAGATAAAGAGTGAAAATTCAGATTTTTTGCAGATTCAAAAAAATTGGTAAATGAGCCCAATGATGTGATACAACCTTCGTTCTCGCATTTAACGCGCACATCACCGATGATGGCTGCTACAATTGCAGAAGAAACGTTTGGTACTACAAGTTCCATTCGACCACGGCCTACCAGTTCGGATTTCATTCTCTTCAGTCATGATTTTGTTGTGAAAGCCTAAGTTCTTATAAAGAGATTACATACACAGTAAATGAGATGACGAAAGTATTACTTCATTTCTGATGACAGTTTGTAGGTGCCTCTGAATACAATATGTCATACTCGTATTTCTGTAAAATCATTAGTCGTCATTCTCATACCCTGAGATGATTTTCCACAATAAAAGTTGACGTTCAATTTGCACATGTTAACTTCTGTGAAAAATCCTGCGCTGACAACTGTCGAATATAATCCAACGCCTTTCATGGTATTACCCAGGGGAGTAGTTGGTTTTTGATAGGTATCAGTCCATAAGCCTACTGTGTAGGTAAAGAGAAGACTGGTCTGAACGAATTGTACCGTGAGAAAATTTATTCAGGAAATGTTTTAGAAAGATACTACAACAACAGAAGCTGAATTATGGTTTTGATCTGTTGTTAGATAAGTCATAAATAATATATGTGATAGAACTGGCCGATACATATTAAAGTAACACCAAAACTCCATATTGGCCAAACGGGATGAACGTTTCCAGAAGAATAAAGGAACATAGAGGAAGTTTCTTGACCGATTCCACCTTTGCAAATCAACTTTTGGCAGATGAGCATGAGTTTATCCGCGACTATGAAGTATTATCACATTTGGAGTGAAAAGTTTTGTAACTGAAACTTTTGAAACGCTCAGAAATTGATAGATTCAGGAATTTTGAAAATTTACTGAATGATCAAATAGAATTGAGTTATTTCTTTCTGTTGGATCAGTTTTCCAATGTGTAAATTAGTGATTAGTTCATAACGTGACCATTTAATGAGATGGTATTTTTCAATAATGTGTAAGTTTTTAATAATTTTTGGGTTTATACGTGAACTCTGATAAAATTATTAGTATTTGAGTAGCTATTTCTTTTTACAATACCCAACCTTTCAATCAGTTGAATCTAAATTCTTGAAAAGTTATCCGTCAGTAAGTGGGTGAATGGTCATATGATCGTTATATTATATAAAGCACAAATCAGGAGAATTCAGTTGGTATGTAGACGCCTGAAGAAGCTATTGTATAGCGAAACACGTGTTGTGGTTTTGTGAACTGTTCGGTGAGAATCTCACTATAAAGTGTTAGATTTCATAATGTAGGTGTTGAAATTTTGACTCATATTTCTGTGGTGAATATTGTATGGAATATTTTGAAATGTACGGATATGAACATCGTCCACTGGCCTGTTTGAGAAAGTGTACAAAACAAATTACCACAATTGTTATCACTCTGCATATTTGCGACCTATTCTTGAACACATTTGAGCTGTTGTGACTAGTAACACAGCGATTGAAGAATGTAAAGGTGACTTATAATTTTCCAAAGAGACTAGCCTGTCTTGCATAATTATATGAATACTTTGACTACAGAAAAAGAAGTTGGGAAATTATATTGGATATTCAGGTTTCCTGCTCATAATTTCCCAACTATCACTTTTCATTGCTGAATGTGAGTGTTTCAAATAACCTGCATATTCTTGCGATTTTTACACAAATTATTCATATTCATGAATACAACAATAATAATGATTCCTTGAAGTACAAAACAGAAGCAGGCAGCCAACTACGATGTTTCTTAGCCGCTTCACCCTTTTTGTTATAGAAGAGATTTCAACAACAATAAATCGGGAAAGAAGAAAGAGCCCAAACGAATTTGGGGCTTTAATTAACGCAATAAAGTACAGAGTCGTGTTTTCGGAAAAGGAAAATATAAAACTCATTCGAATACTTACTGCAGAGAAATCCCTCGTTGTGCCGGAAAAAACAATTCGTTATCCCAAGTGTTTTCGTCTCCGACTTCAAAAGTAACGCTAAAACACTCGCTACTGGATTTCTGAAACAAAGTAAATGCCATCGTTAAACGTCAAATTGTCGAAGGAAACAATGATTGTGATGAACCAAAGAATGGGAAAACGTTCGGAGACTGTTCCACATTGTTATATTTCTAATATTTTCAATTTCTCAAATGACACTCTAAATAGTTTTGATATACATGACTATTGAAATATTGATCTTTGAGTGGGGATCATAAATAATGGTAAGAAAGAGAATTGGATACAATTTATCTTCTTGGAGAAAACCGATGCCTGGGTTTTTGCGGCACTAAATTGAACCTGGTTACATTAACCCCAATTCGAAATTACTTCTAGGTTCTCATTAAGATGTGCAACCTCCTGCTGCCGGTGAAGATGCCGTAGATGCCGTAACCGATGTCTTGGAATCGAAATGGAATGACGAGACAAGTGTGCTGTCGTCAGCAGAGCAATATATCGAATCCTGGTTTTTCCAATAACTTTTATTTACAATAAAAGGAGGGTTGGAGATAATATGGATTCCTGGGGAATACCAGCGTTGTTGGTGAAAGTATTCGAGAGATATCCTTCGACGGTCACTTGCAGGGAACGTTCTTTCAGGAAACTGAAGAGCCATACACAAAAAAGATCCGACATGCCATTGCATCAAAGTTTGGCCAGCAAACCCTCATGCCACACACAGGTTCAAAGGCCTGAGAAACATCAAGCGCAACAGCTCTTGATTCTCCATGTTTTTCGATTGCGTTATTCTACATATGGGTGACATACGATAGAAGGTCGCCTATTGATCTCTGTTTCCGAAATCCATATTGATGATCGCTGAAGATATTGAAGCCTTTCAAATATTTGGGGATATGGTGGTTTACGACTTTCTACATGATTTTTGATATGTCTGATAGCAAAGCTACTGGTACATAGTTATAGTATTGAAATGTTAGAGCAAAGCTGGAATGGTAGTGTGGCTCTTGATGAAGATTATGTTGATGAATGGAGCCAATTTAAAAAAAAACACGTGTGATCATAGTAGTCGATACCATTGACAACGAAAGGAAAATAGCAAACAGATTTAAGTTATAGATTAATTTTTGTGATAATAATTAGTTCAACAAATCCAGTAGCATAAAGACGAAACTTTCTTTGTTTCAAGGTTATCAATTCCATTTTTTCAGAAGTAGGACGATTGCAATTTGTTCATACGATATTTAGTGTTGCTTCAAGCAACAATTCCACTAAGATATTTAGGAGTCATAGTTTGTCATTTCATAGCATTGACTTCTCAAATATTCTCTCATATTTCTTCAAAACAATCCAATATTATCCAATATTTTTACTCACAGCATTGCAATGTAGATGTACGAGCCAGGAAACAAAATGGAGTTACTGCATGTTCCGAGATGAAAAATTTAATCTAAAATTGGAAATCCCCTACTTTCAGAATTGCCAATATAAGGAAATAGTATAAATTTTATATGGGAGTACCAATGTTTTACCGCCTTTTTATGATTCGAACTTTAATTTTGTACTGGATCCTGCAACGTGACGTGTTTGCGGGTTGCAGGATTTGAATTACACGATCATATCACGATTCAGGTTGGCTTCTGCAAATTCAATGCAATTTCTCTTATTGAGTTGTTATTTGGAGGTTCGATAACTTCGACCTCAATTTTTTGAATACCATTACAACCTTCAGATTGGATGCAGCAGCTGCAACGTTATGATAATTGAATATTATATTGAAAATGAAGATATTGATAGCAGAACATAATGAATATGGTATAGACCATATATAGACCAGTTATTCTCACATAGATTTTTCAAACTTCGATGAAGTGAGTTTTTTATTCAATATTCAAAAATTTCGATTAGGAGTAACAGTTTAACAAATACACTCCTCAAAACAATTAAAGGATTACTTGGTTGTAATGAGTGTGTGCAAGAATAAGTTTTACGATAAATATAATAATGTGACCTTTCTTTGTCGACAACTTTGATAAGAAAAAACATAGAATATTTTTGTCTCTTGGCTGTGTATTAGTATAGATAACTCTTATTTTTTGTGAACATACCAAAACAGGAATAGAAAAGAGCATTATTCCAAGTACTGAACAGTTGTTAATCGAACTTACAAGGTGCAGTTTACCCATTTCCTGTTTGGTGCCTTATGTTTACGTACCATCGCATGTGTTTCTCAACATCAGGAGGATCAAAGGCTAGGTGTGAGTCAATCAGTCGTTTTTAAAGACATTCGAACCGCCACCAACAACTAGAGAGTGTCCATAGGAGGTCAGGTCATGGGCGGCTTAGGTCCACTTCAGCTCAAGAGAACAGGTATTCACGTATAAGTGCCCTCAGACGTGGATTTGCAACAGCCAGCGAGCTACAAAATGAACTACGTCGAGCAACGGCACCTGAATTTTCAACTAGACTTTGCGAAATCGATTTCGGGAAAGTGGATCGAAATCTAGACGACCAATCCAGATACCTCGGCTCACAGCACATCACAAAAGAGGAAGATTGCAGTTTGCTTGGACACGCAGACGTTGGCAGCTAAAGCATTGGCGTGAAGTACTTTTTTCTGATGACTCTAAATTTACTCTTTTTGGTAATGATGGTCGAGCCAGAGTATACAAAAAAAAGAAAGAATGTTTTATTCTCTGCTACTCATCTTCAAGGGTCCCATTTGGATCAATAATAATGCGGGGTGGAATAACACTCAATGATCGTACAGATCTTGTAGTTATCCGCAACGGATCCCTGACCACCCAGAGGTGCGTTACTGAGGTTTGGATGTCCAGATAAGTCACAGAGCTGAAGCGGAAGGGCACAATTTGATAATTGTGCACGATGGGGCCCATACCCACGCTGAAGGGAGCGTGTGTCAGTATCTGCAAGCCCACATCATCACCACTTTGAGCTGGCCCGCTTGCAGCCCGGACCTGAAACCCTTCGAACGTGTCTGGGATCAACTGGGAAGGAGCATCCAAAGTCGCCAAAACTAAGCTACCACTTTTTTTTTATTGAGAACATAGTCGCATCCACCTGAAAAGTGATTAGCGACGGATCAGTACAATACTATCAAATAATAAATACTAAAACAGTAAATGTGTACACATATTTAAATGTTGTTCAATAAGTCTATGTCTTTGAAATAACCAATCAGATTCCTTGAGGGGAATTCTGTTCCGAGAAGAACTCTAATGTCATTCGGGAACTGATGATTAGATCGTTGAACATTGTATTTAGGGCATTCAATTAAAATGTGTTTTACACTCTGAACTGCATCACAATCGTCGCATCTAGGTGGATCACTATTCGTCAGAAGGTAGCCGTGTCTGAATCTTGTGTGACCAAGACGGAGACGCGTAAGAGTCCCTTGTGCTTTTCTGCTCTTGTTACGCAATTTTGATCGCGAATTCAACTACTCTTGTTTCCACAAACATGACAATTTATTTTTGAAAAAGACTTTCAAATCACTCGGTACACTGCGAGATACTACTTCTGATTCAGCACTTACTATCGCGTTTCGCGCACATTGGTCTGCTTTTTTCATTTCCGTCTATACCGTTGTGATAAGGGATCCATATAATGCTGATCTTCCGGGAGTTCTTTTTTGCTTCCAACAGTTTTGATTTCATCATTTTGGCAATAGGATTTATAGGATAAATTTGCTGTGGTATTTCTTCTGAGCTAAAGGAGCCTGTGAGGATTAGGCGTAACGAAGAATTGGAATGATTAATGTACTGGATTGCCTTGTATAATGCATACAATTCTGCGGAAAAGACGGTAGTGTCAGAGAGCAGTTTATATTTGAAATCATCGTTAGGAGTTACCACCGCTGCACCAACACCATTGTCGGTTTTTAAGTCATCGGTATATACTTTCGTGAAATTATGGTAACGCTGATTTGAAATAGAGGCCAAGGCAGTTCTGTTATTATAGCGATGTAAATTGGTGTTAGTTTCAGGAATTGCTATAGTCCAAGGGGGTGGATGGTCGAGATCTAACGGATAGACATTCGGGAATTCAATGTTTAGGTGCTGAAGATACGTTCGAATTCTTTCATAGTATGGCTTAGGTGTGCGTGTCTTCCCATCGAAATAGTTTCGGTATTTATTGGTAAACGTATTATTGCACAAAGGCTTATTTTCGTTTGCTGCTATGGATGTGTCATGTGATAAGGTTGAATACATTCGTCGCTGTTCCAAGGCGGGTTCACCAGTTTCAGAATAAATACTATCTACCGGAGTAGTGCGAAAAGCACCCAAAGCGATTCTGAGAGCAGTATTATGAATAGTGTCAAGCGGTCTCAAGACTGATTTTGAGGCAGATGCATACGCAATGGAACCATAATCAATTTTTTATCTAATTAGAGTTCTGTACGCAGTAAGTAGCATGGCATAATCAGCTCCCCAGTTTCTATTAGCTAACGTTTTGAGTAGGTTCAGTCTTTTTTTACAGGAAAGTATTAGTTGTTTGATATGCTCTTTCCAAGATAGTTTTGGGTCAAACCACATTCCCAAAAATTCAACAGATGCTTTGAAAATTACCCTTTCATTGTATAGTTTTAACGAGGGAACTTCTATGGAAGAGAATTTAGAAAACACCATACCATTAGTTTTTTTAACTGAGAATTTGAAGCCTGTTTCGGAGGACCAGTGTCCTAACTCCATTAGGAAGTATTGTAAGATGGTTTTCATCTGAGTTATGTCTTTGTCCTTTAATGTAGATCACCAAATCATCAGCATATAAAAGAGCCTTTAGAGGTTTCATTAAAGTTTTAATAATATCATTTATTGCAATTAAAAACAACGTTAGACTGATAACGGATCATTGTGGGGTGCCATTTTCTTCGCAGCCACCACTTTATATAAGCTGGAAATCGCTCTTCGAGGCGAGCTGTAATTTATGTCCGAAGAGAAAGCACAAGATACTGAGCCATCAATTGTCACACAAAAACAACTTCTTTCTCGTTTACTTTTGATTTCAATTAAGGGTTAATTTCAATGAAGAGTTTTCATTG